AGAGAGAGAGAGAGAGAGAGAGAGAGAGAGAGAGAGTCTACACAGTAACACACAGATTGGATAAAAAATGGTAAAGATATTGACACTAATGCTAATGATAGCAGTGATAACAGCAATAGGACTGTGAACAGTGGCTGTAATTATAGTAGTAACACAGGGACAGCAGGAACCTCCCACCCACAGATCCAGCTTCCACAGCTCTGGGAACACCAGCAGGAGGTGATGGAGGAGAGAGGAGGGGGAGGAGAAAGCACAGGACTACAGGAAAGGGAGAGAGTCCAGTTAGTAACATAAATCTGCTCAGTCACCCTCAGTTTGGGCCTAACTTACCAGTCTGTTTTTCTCCTCCTATACAGTCATTCAGACTCTCTTTGGCCATTTTGTGACTTGTTTCCGTAGTTTACAATCTATAAACATCACAGTACTTTTTTTTTAAATAGTTCATTTTTTTTGGCTCAAGATGTTCCAATAAGAAGTGCTTCATCTGAAACCCAGATCCTTCATTTCAGATTAATATGTCAGAACAAAATGGGACAAAATAACAACTTGGCATCCTCACCAATATCTGAGTAAATCTGAGTAAAGGTTTCTTTGATCAGTCTAAAAGAAAGAGGGTTTTAAACTATTTGAATGAGCTTAAAGTCACCAAACCTGAAAAATCTTGAGCTCATGCTCACAAAATATCTCAGAACTCGTCAGACCTGAGGTGTTTCTGGACCAGTTCAGCCTCAGACCGGTCTTCTGTCCAGTAGTGATGTGTCCCTCTGTATCGAGGCTTCGAAACGCGTCTCGAGAAATCCAGGATGATTTCTGTGAAGCGCGTATCGAAGCTTGTGTCGGTGACGTTTGTTAGCGATCTATTCAAGCTTCCCTTCATTGTATCATTAAGACTGTTACCATTATGGTAACAGCTTATTCCCTAATGGGGAATAAGTAGCCAGTAGCCTGTAGCCAATGGGGAGAGGCGGGGTCACCCTGGATGGCAGCATATCAAACATTGATTTATTCATTTAATGCTTCAGACACCAAAGCCAGAGTCTCATTATAATAATGCTGTACGGTTTACATTTATTGTCCACTTGATGGCACAATAGAGCAAATGAAGCACCATGAAGCTTCAACACACGAGTGATGAACCAATTGGATGGAACCCTTCAATCAATAAAGCTTCATCTCGCCATCACTGCTGTTCAGCCCCGTTTCTGTTTCTGAAGGCTCCCCCTGCTGTGTGTTTTATTCTTCTCTGGGCTACTGCCCCCTTCTGGGAGGTTTACTGCAGGTTTGATGCCTTCAGGGCCGCCTCTTTTCCAGGAAAAACCAAGATCCTTCATTTCAGCTTAATATGTCAGAACAAAATGGGCCAAAATAACAACTTTGCATCCTCAAAAATAATCTGAGTTTAGGTTTCTTTGAATGATTTGACTATTTGAATGAGCTTAAAGTCACTAAACCTGAAACATCTTGAGCTCATGCTCACAAAATATCTCAGACCTGAGGTGTTTCTGGACCAGTTAAGCCCGTTTCTCTGTTTTCTGACCCCCCCCCTGTGTGTTTCTGCTGTGTTTCAGTCCTCTCTGGGCTACTGCGCCCTGTGTGCGGCCGCCCTCCACACGCTGCTGTACGGCTGGGACCGGGCCTTCGACCCGGCCCACTACCCCCTCTACCTGCCCCCCCCCTTCCTGCTGGTCCTGGTTCTGCCCCTGCTGGTGCTGCTGGGCCGCCTGGGCCTGCTGCTGCCCTGCCTGGCCGCCCGGCTGCGCTGGATCCGCCGCGGCTGGGAAAGGACCCGCCACGTCCGCTTCAGGCTGCCCAACGCCGCCGGGAACGAGGACGTCAGCCACGTCTGAGGTGACGCTAAAGCAGGGGAAATACTCGGTCAGACTATCCCGAAACTACAGATATTTGCCAAAAAACACACTGACCGCCTCTAGTTTCTGTGCATTTTTCTTTAATTTATTGATTTGTGAAGCTCTCACAGGGGAAAAACGCCGTCAGACTATCCCGAAACTCCAGATATTTGCCAAAAAAGCCCCAAAAATACACTGACCGCCTCTAGTTTCTATGCATTTTTCTTTAATTTATTGATTTCTCTCCATTCAAACCCTTTTAAAGCTGATTGACACTATTTATATGATCCCACAGCATGTTTTCCATTTTCCAAACTCCATCAGACAATCCCGAAACTCCAGATATTTGCCAAAAAATACCAAAAAATACACTGACCGCCTCTAGTTTTTATGCATTTTTCTTTAATTTATTGATTTGTAAAGCTCTCACAGGTGGAAATACTCGGTCAGACAATCCCGAAACTCCAGATATTTGCCAAAAAAGCCCCAAAAATACACTGACCGCCTCTAGTTTCTATAAATTTTTCTTTAATTTATTGATTTCTTTCCATTAAAACCCTTTTAAAGCTGATTGACACTATTTATATGATCCCACAGCATGTTTTCCATTCTCCAAACTCCATATACCCCTGTGAAGCTCTCACAGGTGGAAATATTCGGTCAGACAATCCCGAAACTCCAGATATTTGCCAAAAAAGCCCAAAAAATACACTGACCGCCTCTAGTTTCTATGCATTTTTCTTTAATTTATTGATTTGTGAAGCTCTCACAGGGGGAAATACTCGGTCAGACTATCACGAAAGTCTGGATATTTGCCAAAAAAGCCCCAAAAATACACTGACCGCCTCTAGTTTCTATGCATTTTTCTTTAATTTATTGATTTCTCTCCATTTAAACCCTTTTAAAGCTGATTGACACTATCAAAACTTCGAACAGCTGACACTTCTCTTTATTTATATGATCCCAAATAATTTAATCTCCATAACTTCAGGTGCTGTTTCATCCAATAAAAAAGAGAAAAAAGCTCTAAAAATTAATCAGAGCTCAAAGCTGCACTACAGAAGATGGCCACTAGGGGCTCTCTTTCTGAGCTCATTCAATGCAAAGCTTATTTTTGGAGTTGCATTTGTGTCCTTTGGTTGTTCTGATTATTTATCTTTAGACATTTTGGCTGCCTTTTGTCCGTCCAGGTGTCAGAAAATAGGTCAGATGTGGAGGTCTAAAACAGTTTGGGAGCTCATGGGTGGAGACACTCCTGTCTGAGCTGTTTTTGGGTATGCGATCCTTCACCTTGTTTTGTTTTCACTTTGAAAAAATGCATGCCTCCTGTTGCTGGCTGCTGTCTTAAAATGTTACAGACTCATTTGACTCCAATCCAACTTGCTGAGAACCCAATAAAAGCACAATAAATGTGTATTTATCCTGTTTTTTAAAATCTTAGAGCAACTTTCTGTTGAATGAAGTCTCCTCAGTCCGAGAAAAAACGTCTTTTAGTGTTTGTATCGAGAATGTAAAGATTTTAAATTAAATAAATGTGTTTTCTACGGCTCTTTCTCCTCGTTTTGTGTTGGGTTTTGACGCGTTTGCTGGAAAATGCAGCTGCAGTGAGCTGCTTTATCTGAGAATAAGTGGATGCTGGCATCTTGTGGCGGTGGGAGGGGTAATAGTGGAAAAGTTCCCTCCCCCTCCGGCTTCCTGAGCATATCTGAGCTTTGATAGATGACAGCCGGACCAGTTGGACGAGCTCTAACTCCCAACAGCAGCGTCTTCCTCAAACTGCCAGCATGTCGGTAAGTCCCATCTCTGCTCCTTTAACCGTGTTTTTTTGCTGTTTGTGGTGTTTCGGAGGGGCTCCGGAGGGTGTTTAGAGACGGATTCAACACGTGTTTCCCTTCAGTACCGACAGGAGAGATTTGAGAAAGCAGCCAAAGACGTGACCATCCTCAAACAGAGACCCGACCAGACGGAGATGGGGGAGGTCTACTCTCTGTATAAGCAGGCCACGGTGGGGGACAACAACACTGGTGAGCACCCGGTGGGGCCGTTTGGTGGGAAAATGTAGAGAAAGTAGCACACAAAACAGGAGAACCTGTTCAGATCTGCAAACTGAGACCTGTGGGGGGGCAGTGCCCAGGACAGAAATCAGGTCTGACGAGTTCCCAGTTATTTCGTGAGCATGAGATCAAGATATTTCACGTTTGGTGACTTTAAGCTCGATGCCAGCCGCACACAGGGCGCAGTAGCCCAGAGAGGACTGAAACACGGCAGAAACACACAGGGGGGGGGTCAGAAACAGAGAAACGGGCTGAACTGGTCCAGAAACACCTCAGGTCTGAGCTATTTTGTTAGCATGAGCTCAAGATGTTTCATGTTTGGTGACTTAAAGCTCATTCAAATAGCTTAAAACCCTTTTTCGTTTAGACAGATAAAAGAAACCTTTACTAATTGTGAGGATGCCAAGTTCTTATTTTGTCTTATTTTGTTCTGATATAGTCATCTGAAATGAAGGATCTTGGTTTTTCCTGGAAAAGAGGTGGCCCTGAAGGCATCAAACTTGTGGAAATGAGCTTTTTCTATGCACCAGGTTTCCACAAGGCCTATTTTCGTCCCCTTTACAGCCAAACCTCCAGCAAATTGATTAAGTTATTTAATATTTTTCTACTTTGCAGAGGAAGAAATATGCAAATCTCTTTAAATTTGAATAAAGGTTCATCTGGGGGACGGTAAACGCTCCAGAAAAATAGTTGTCTGCATATTTTTTAACTTTTCTCTCATTCAACTCCACTGAAAGCAGCTAATAGGTTAAAATGATAATTGAATGAGAAGTTGGTGATTTGTACGAATGTCATTGGTTTGTTTTCCATTTTTTGATTCACAGAAGGTCCGGCTTTTTACGATTTCGTCGCAAAGGCGAAATGGATGGCATGGGATAAAAAAAAAGGTCAGATTTATCAAATGTTCAGTCACGTCTTTTAGGATTCAAAAGGTTTAAACTTGCTGAATGTGGAAAACATTTAAAACATGTTTTAAATGGACTCTTTCTTCTGTTTCATCAGGGATGTCCAAAGAAGAAGCCATGTCAGCTTATATTGGGCTGGTGGAGGAGCTGAAAGAAAAATATGGAATCGAATGAATTGTTAAAATGCGTTAATCAGCAAGATTTAAACCAGGAGACATAAAACACTTGTTTTTGTTTTAGCTCATGAAAATAAACTGCTGAAAATAATCAAACCACATCTTAGTTTTAGAAGTTTAACTTGTTGGCTACAGTAGGTAACATTGTTTTTGTATTTTGAAGGAGTATTTGACACACAAATGTCCCCTTTTAAAAAAAAAAACCTTATTAAAGAAACTAAAATATTCCACGAGCAGCAGTTTACCAGTAAAAAGAACAGAAAATAAAGTCAAATGAATATATTTATGAGTGGAAAAACCTTTTTTTCCGCATGTTTTGTGCTGATTTCATGATTCATTCATGTCCCATTTGCCCTCCTCGGTGCTGTTCGGGGCCCATCACAAACCCATTTTACCCAAAATTAGCCTTGCTCCGGTTAGGGTTCTCCAGATGAGACCCGTCTGGACCCTGTGTGAGTACTCTGGGCTTCCTGATGGCATCTGTTATGGGACTCAGCACAATCGTGGCGATTATTTGCATCCAGAAAAACATCTGCGCTTCTCCAGAAAGTCCAACGGGTTCAGAACAAACACATGAAGCAGTTTTTTTGTTTTATTTTTAGGTTGGAATTTAAACCTCAGACTCTGAAATTTAAGCCTTGCAAAACTGATAATTCAAACATCTCCTGTGTCTTCAAAAAGGTCGACACAGTAAAATAATTTGCTTTTCCCTGGGAGGCTTTGAGCCTATTTGTGCTTCTCAAACATCCAAAAAGCCCGTGCTGCGTTCAGGTGCAGACAGAAAAGTGGGTGATCTGTGCTTCCAGTGGGCTCATGTTTACAGTCGGTCTCCAAAAGAGGAAATGGAGCTGCTCATCACCAGACAAACACAAGAGACCAGGTTTGACCCTAAAACGTTTAGATGGAACTTTCTGCTCCTGAAATCAGAAGATCAAACCAAAGGAAGAAAATTCCTCAATTTATTTGATTTATTAGCAATTCCTAAGATATTTTAGCCTAACTTAATGAGCCCTGAGTCAAACTTTTAGATGTCTGAATTTCAGTAACGTCAGCAACAAATGCAATAAGACATAAATGAGTTTATTGATAAAAATTTCAGTCACAAAATATATGAAACTTGGTCATTTTTCAGTGAGTAAATTCAGACTCAGCAGGAGATGCTGAGAATCGATCAAAAACATCACAAATATATCAAGAAAACTTCTGAGATCTTCCCAAAACCAGTTTCTGTTTGGAAAATGAGGTAAAATTTCACTTTTTTTATTTTTCTGAGCTTTAAGTTTTTAGATGCTTGTTTTTATACTTTAATATTTTTTTATTTGAGTCTCTTCATTCATCTGATTCATCAAATCTAAAACAGACTAGCTAAAAAGCCTATTTTATTCTCTGTTCGACTGTCTTTTTTTTCCCAAGAAGTACAAGAAACTGGACAGATTATTGATAATTTTAATTTCTTTTGGGAAAGAAAACTGAATTCATTAATAAATTATGAAAGGTAATCATGGTTTAAATAGTTAAAAGGTTTATTGAGAATAAAAATAATGATGTTTAAGATTATTTCCTTGAGAAAAGGCTTTTAAATATAAAAATATCTTTGTAATAAAAAACACCTCTTAGAGGGAGGCATGAGTTCTGGAAAACCTGGAAAACTTTAACCTGCTCAGAGCAGGGTTTTGGTTCTTGCAGTTTAGATTTCTAATAATTATTTGAGGTTTGCCCTGTTTTTATCTTTTCTTATGTTTTGTCCGCCATCTTGAATTTATTCTGAACGGTGTATTTCTCCTCCATCTCCACCAGGGGGCGGTGTTAGCCTCCACATCTGGGTTAAATAGGTTCCAGTTACAAACGGCTATTTAATTTCTGTGTACTTTTCTTTCAAATTGACATGAAATTTGAATATTTTTCCAGCAATTTGAGTGAATCATTCATAAAAACCTCCCATTTCTCTTCCTCAGATGGGTGTGTTGGTGCCCGGGCCTGGCTCAGGGGGCCGGGGCCCCCCCGGGGGGGCTCCCCGGGGCCAGCAGGGACACCTGCGTGTGCGGGGACCCGCTGGTGGAGGAGTGATGGCGGCCGGGTGGGTTTGGGAGGCGGCGGCGCAGCCTCCACCTCCTCCAGCGCCTCCGGACCTCCTGCTGAACCTGCACACCGGAACCAGAAACACACCGGAGGCTTTTATCCAGGTTTCCCCACGCTCTCCTCTCTGTTCCACTGGCTAAACCAGTGTTTTTCAACCACTGTGCCTCGGCACACTAGTGTGGTGTTAGTGATGGTCAGGTGTGCCGTAGAAAATCATCCTATTTCACCTAATTCGTCTAAAAAGATTTTTGATAAGGAATTAATTATCTGCAAATAATTTTTGAGTGTCTGTACTTAAGTATTGACTGGTGGAGTAATCATGTAATAATTCCTTATGACTTGATTTTGTATATAATTTTGTATATTGAAGTGGACATGTTAAGAGCAATTTGAAAGAAGAAATATATTAAATATGATAAAAATACATTTTTGTGTTTATTTGATTCCTATTCAAGACACTTAAGATAAGAATAAGATAAGAATAACTATAGTGTTACTGTAGGTGGCTACAGATTTGTTTGACATTTTTTGTTGGTGGTGTGCCTCGTGATTTTTTTCAATGAAAAAATGTACCTTGGCTCAAAAAAGGTTGAAAAACACTGGTCTAAACTAAAACAAATCCATTATCCAAGCAGACAGGCCCCTACACTCAGCTCTTTTAAAACCCTTTTAAAGACCCACTTTTTCTCTCAGGCCTTTGAGTGAGACTTCGACTTTATCTTAGTTGTCTTAATTTCCCTCTCTTACTTTTTTTTTTATTTTTTATTATTATTATTATTTTTTTTGTCTCTTACTGTTTTTTTAATCTTTGAGTTTGTCTTGTGTTGTGGTGATAATTGTGTTTTATGATCTGCTCAATTGGCCTGTACAGCGCTTTGATTTTAGCTTTGGCTGACTGAAAGCGCTTTATAAATAAAGTTGAGTTGAGTTGAGATGTTATTGACCTTTACCAAATTTACCAACGTGAGGATGCTTTCAGACTAAAATTGCAGCTTAAATAAATTAGGTTTTTTCTCCAGGTTACCCAACGCTCTCTTCTCTGTTCCACTGTCTAAAACTAAAACAACTCCATTATCCAAGCAGATGTTATTGACCTTTACCAAATTTACCAACGTGAGGACTAGGGATGGGGATCGAAACCCGGTTCTATCAAGGACCCGGTTCCACTTTTTTCAAAACCCGAAAATCAATAACGTTTGGGCTTATCGATACCACTATCGAGTCTGGTCGTTTTTTTTATTATTACAATAGTAATTGTGAAATCTGTGTTGTAATCGCCAGCATACAAGCTAGTTAGCTTGAAAAGTAAATAAAGTTTCAGACTGTTCAGATTGGCTCAGTAAAACGACAATTAGGTTATCATGATGCGTTCAAGTGTAACGTAAAGAAAATTAGTTTTTGGCGAGAAACATGAGTAATACAGTTGTATATTGCTCTAATTATTTTTAGAATATATGATTAAACTACTGATGCCAACATTTATTAAAAAATTTAATTTAAAATACAATTATTTATTTGCTAAATATTGTCGCATCGTCTTTCCACCAAATAACAGAAAAGTATCGATAGTGGTATCGATAAAGACTCGGATCGATAAGGAGTATCGATAAAGGTATCGATATCAATAAATATTAACGATCCCCATCCCTAGTGAGGACGCTTTCAGACTAAAATTGCAGCTTAAATGAGGTCTCTGTGTATTTTTGGTTTCAGAACCGGCAGTTTTTCTTCTAGTGAAAACGTGGCTGTTACCTCTCCGTTCAGGAAGCAGTAGAGGACGGCCACCATGAAGCCCTGGGGGGAGGTCAGAGAGCCGTGAGGGTTAGTGGGCGTCGCCCGCCGCCCGCCGGACGCATCCCGGACTGACCTGAGTGGAGGAGAGGGCCAGCTCTGCCAGCATCCCGATCCGGTACACGGAGGGCCTGACCTCCACCGGGAAGAAGCCGAACACGATGTAGTGCATCCCGAACAGGACCACCAGGAAAAAGGTGGATTTGGTCAGCCTCCTGGTGACAACAGGTCCGTTTTCACACGTAAAAGGGTGGTGGGGTTAAAGAATAGCGTAAAAAAGAGGATAAATCCAATAGATACAGTGGGGGAAATAAGTATTTGAGCCCTTGCTGATTTTGCAGGTTTGCCCACTTACAAAGAATGCAACGATCTATAACTTTAATCATATGTACATTCTAACAGTGAAAGACAGAATCCCAAAGAAAATTCCAGAAAATCAAATCATATGAATTTATAAAAATTGATAACCATCTGATGAGGAAAAATAGGCATTCTTTGAAAGTGGGCAAACCTGCAAAATCAGCAAGGGGTCAAATACTTATTTCCCCAACTGTAAAATGGTATGACCCACTTGTACTGGCTGAATTCGTTCCTCTGGGCATCTTGCATCCTGAGTTTGCTCACCAGTATCCTCAAAATCGCCAAGAAGAAGATGAAATTAATCTGAAACGTTTCAAACCAGAGCGCACGATTACTTTTAATCTGAAAAGTTCTTTGTTTAACATTTTTAAAAGGCATAAATGAGAGTTTATGAGAGTTTTTCACAGATTTTATGAGCCTTTTTGCATTAAAGAGGCTGGATTCATCTTCTGTTTTGAGAGTTTAGCTCCCTTTTGTAATTTGATGATAATAAAAATTTAAAGGAGAGAAAAAAAATAATTTACCGTGATACTTAGAAGAACAGGAACTCGGAGAATCCACCAGATCCATTCATGCTCTCTGGTTTCCCAACAGCTGTGGAGGGAAAACTGAATGACAATCGGATTAAACCAAAATGATCCAGCAGACTGTCTTCCTTACCCTTTATCTTCATAAAAATACTTTGCAAACCCCCAGGTGGAGATCACCACCACCGGCAGACCTGTGCGACACACGGATTAGATCCAGGGGAGGAGTTTGGGTCGGAGCAGAACGTGAGGCGTGAGCGACCAGGTACCCCAACTCAGGACGATGTACCAGGCCAGGTGTTTCTTCAGGGAGAAGAAGGAGCGGCTCAGCAGGGTGAACAGGAAGTGGCCCTCCACCAGCAGCCAGCTGTAGTTGGCCAGGATGGAGTAGTTGGAAAACATCAGCACCACCTTACAGGCCACCTGCACACACACAGGTACCACCCGTCTAGTTTACAGAATCAGAAATACTCGAATAAGCCCAGAGGGAAATCATTTTTGTTACTAGCTCCATAAATAAAACAACGGCATATACATATATACACGTCTATACACGTATATATATATATATATATATATATATATATATACAAAATTCCACGTTGAATATAGATAAATATATACATAAATAACTATATCTATATATATAGGTCTAAATAAGTGGGGGTGATAATGTCAATAATTAAGTTAGGAACAGTTAGGAATGACCAGATCTAGTTTTCAGAATCAGAAATACTTTAATAATCCCAGATGGAAATTATTTTGAATATATACATAAATAACTATATGTATATATATATATATATATATATAGGTCTAAATAAGTGGCGGTGATAATGTCAATAATTGAGTTTAAGCTGGATCTGAGGCAGATCTGTGAGGTCCAGGCAGATCCTGACCGGGTAAAAGTCGCAGTGGTAGAAGTCTTCATCGGTGAACAGCAGAGAGTCTCTGATGAAGATGAACATGGCCCTCAGGATGAAGGAGAGAAACAGCTGGATGTGGATGTAGTTCCTGGTGCAGTGCAGCTTCCTGAGAAAATGAAAGCTTTTATTTCAGAGAGTTGTGTTCATGGAGGGGGGGGGGGACATGGACCAGGAGAAGTGTTTCTCACCTGAACAGGCAGAATATGGTGATGGCGATCGTCAGGGAGACGAGAGACACGGCGTACCCCGCCGTGTACATGTTCTTCACATAGGAGAAATACGTGTGGGAGCCCGGGGCCTGACAAACACACACACCAAACACACACACCAAACACACACACCAAACACACACCGCTCAGTGAGACGTTAAAAACCCCAAAACTGCAGCAGGTATGGGCCATTTACTTATAAAAAGTGACAAAATAATGGGCCGTTTACTTACAAAAAGATGCGTTCAAAAACCACTATAGGCCGATGTAATCTTAATTCCACCTCCAACTCAAACCAACTCAATAATTTATCAGTTTTTAAGTAAACAGGAGATCCTTATTTTTCCATAATTTATAACTAAAGTCCTCTTATAGGCAGCTCCGCTTTGTGTTCAGCATTGTGCTCTAAATGTATTTATGTTGTAAATACAGTAAATGTATCTTTAAGTAGGATCTTTTATAAACACTACTGCAGATTCACTGAACGGCTGGTTTAATCCAACCCGTGTTTGTACAACTCGAAGAAGCTCTGAAGTACATATTTAGCCTTTTCACTGCACACCATGTTGAGATCTGCCCAGTTTCCAGCCAGCAGCTCTTTGGGAATCCTTAGAAATCCTGTTTTCTGTCTGTCAAACTGGATTTTCTTTGGCCTTTTTCACAAATTAGCTAAAGAAATAGGAACAAATTATGTGTCTCTGTGACAGCTGCTGCTAACAAAGAGCCTAAAGATCCACAACACTGGCTCATCCCTTGAGTTAGAGGCCTTTTTACAGCCCAAAGAGAAAATAGACTGAAAATGTTTACAGAAAAAATCTGGAAAAAAAAAAATTTGACGTTAGAAACTGCAAACCTCTCCAACAAAGTCCAGAGTGTCGTTGAAAGTGTAGCTGCATGCGTCTTCGTGCGGAATAAGAAGGGCCGTCCATCCATCAGCGGTGCAGTTACGATGCACCTTTCCTACAAAAATACCCACAAAATCTCTGTTTTATCTCCTGTTTTTCTCAAGAAAATGAGTCAGAAACGAGACGGACAAGAGGCCCCTGGTTCACACAGCACCTGTTTTCAGAACACGAAAAGCTGTGAATCCATTAACCCACCTTTGTAGACTATTCAATAAACTTCTGGCTTTTCAGATAATTTATTATGTAATCTATCATCCTCAAACAGAAAACAAGTGCTCTCGCTGGTTGCCCAGTTCTCTGTGTACACAAGCTTACGGCAGACAGTTTGGACAAAGACCCTGAGAGGAGAAAGACGTCTCACTTACTTATGTAAACAAACGGATTTCCTCTGGAAAATCATTAACCGGCACAATGTGGCGTAGATAACGGGTGTGAGGTTGTAAACGTGCGTCAGTGGGTTGTGAGTGTATCTCACCTTCTGAGCCGAAGAACTCCGGGCATGGCTGAGAAACGGTGTCCCCTGGAGAAGCGTGCGGCCAGCAGTTTAGGTGGTCCCACATCCCCCTGCAGTGTATGCTGACATTGTTTTCTGGGTTTGAATAGAAAAAAGTGGCTCTTTTTTATCCCCGGTACGACATTCAAGTTAAAGAAGTCACAATATAAGAGAAATGACAAAAGTAAAACATTTAAAACCAATAAATGGATGGAAAATAAATAAATCTGATGTTTAAAATGAAGTTAAAACCTATTTTTCATTTTGAAAGCAGGAAATGATTTAGGTCCGTCACATTTCAAAGTGTGTTTTGTAACGTCACCACTAGCTGTCACTAATTTCACACTAAATTTCTCAGCAATCTACATTATAATCTGTAAATTTGCCAATTCAGGGCGTATTTTTTCACACAGTGGCATTAATAACACAGTTACAAACTCATTAGACTTACCTGTTGCTTTTTGTGACTGCAGCAGAAGGTCTTGCTTGCACTTTTCTTCGTCTTTTACCAGACTCACATGAGGATGGCAGCCTGAGGATTTTTTTACCTGGAAAAATACAAACAAATAAATACAATATAAACAATCCCGAGGGGTAACGCTGAACTTTAGCTTCTCAAAATTGCATTTATTCAAAGGAAGAATGTGTCTTTTTCTTCACCTGGGGCAAAAGCAACAGCCCAATAAGTCCAACTTTCTTCATTTTGTAGAAAAAGCTTCCTTTCCCCCCGAAAGATGAGCACTTAAATCCAAACTCCACACCGCATATCTGCTCAGGGTCAAAAGTAAGTGTCCTGCCATGCAGCAGATATATGAGCCTGAAAATCAAACATAAGTTTAGTCGAAATCTTGTTAACCATGCAATGCACTCTGCAGAACAAGCTGATGGACTTTTTCTGTCAAGGTGGCTTCAGCTCAAACGGGATTTATTTGTTGACTGTCAGAATAAAACTCAAACACGTTAGCATTTGTAATTTTGGCTGACGAATGTACTTAAAAAGACACGAGTTTGTGCTCAATCCTGCTAGTTAACGTTGTTTTAACGTTAAACTGCAAACTGGAACGAAACAAATAAAGCTGTGGAAGCCAGCGTTACTTGATTTAACTTTATTTTGAACACGAAGCACGTATTTCCGGTCTGGTTTCACTGCACATGACGGAGTTCAATTGGAACGTGCGGCCGACCAATCAGATTCGCCCACCCTGCTTATCGTCGCCACGGCAACGAAAGGCCTCTCAATTAACAGTAACAGAAAATTGTTCAGACCCAGCAGGTCCGGGACGAAAAGATGTAGAAAATGACCGTTTTTACGGATATTAAAGGCTGCAGTTTGTTTGTAACATAAGTAAGTCGTAATATTAACTTTTAAAATGTTTTCTGTCGATAGGCTTCAGCAAAAATAACTCATTATTTAAGTTAATGCTAGTTTTTTAAGCTAAGACCTTCGTTTTCTTGCTAACTGTAAGAGTAAGTGGAATTTAAAAAGTCAAAATTTACAGAAAATACCGTTATTTTTTAACTGTAATTAGCTCATTCTCCCCTTTCACGTCTCCTCTAGTATTCTGATTGCTTGGTTCATAGTTTCCCACCGCGATATTTCCCACCTGCAGCTTTCTCCTTGACTCCCCTCCAGCCTTCTGTCATTTCTCTCATGAGGAGCCAAAGCTGACCTTTTGCCAGGATGGAGGTGGCCCTGTCTGGCCCACAGATCCTCTCAGAGCCCCTCAGGAGGGGCACGCCGCTGCCCCTGAGCCAGCTGGTGGAGGAGAGTAGGAGCAGAGCCAGCATTCCCAATCACCTCCTGGAATCAAGTACACATCAGAAATTACCTCTGAAACCCTGTCACAGGTTACATAAGGGCTGCCTGCTCTCTGCAGTAGTACCATAACCTCCATTAGTGTGTTAAAAGCAGACCCCACGCTTTAGTCTTACCCTTTTCTGCTCTTTTGGTGTTTGTTACTGTACATTTTCTGATCTAATTTGTATTTCCATACACTAATTTCCATCCAGAAATCTATGCCAAACTGAGAGGCAACAGCCAGATCCAAGTGGAGCCCTCAGAGCTGCACTTCAGCGGGTTCGAGCTTGGGAAGGATTATGTAAAGATCCTGGTGAGGAGACAAGTCCTGGTGTTAAGGCTTTTTGACTTTTTACCCCTGGTTCTTTCACTCTGTCAGTTACAGGCTTAATCTGGACACCCAATATACTTTTAACAAGTTTTTAAATAAATCACAAGTCGGGGAGCTGTTTATGTTCACGCTTTTCAGGCTTTAAGACCCCACAAAGTCATGGCTAAGGAAGAAGCTACATAGGGTAGGGTATTATATGAGTAAAGTGAAGAAAAGGAAGGGAAATTCATTAACTGTCTACAGTTCCCTCTGGGTGAAGTTTGTTTTCAATGAATAGGGTCTGATTTCACACCCTATACGCATAATGAGGCACCATGAGCTGGATATAAGTATCAGGAATATGGAAATATATCTCTCAAGTGATGATTTGATGGAAATAAATTATTTTTGCTCTCTCCTATTTTGCCGGGAACAGAAACTAATCAACATCTCATCTGATGCCATGAATATTCATGTCATTGCAACCCAAACCAAGTACTTCCAGACATCTTACAGCAAGAAGGTATGTGTTGACCTGGATCTAACTTTATAACTCTACATGTCCATAAGTGCAATCAGCGATGTTCTTCATGATTCAACCCTCTCTTTCCGCCAAGCATCGACTCATCCCTGGCCTGGCCTACACCCTAAAGGTCAGATTCTGTCCAGACGAGTGGCGCTACTTCTATGACTACATTCGTGTCCACTGCCAGGTCAGCATCCTCCACGTTCTGGGCTGGAGCTCCTCCCAGCTTCTGTAATCTTATTTCACATCTTTTGTAGTCCAGCAAACATCTTTTAAAAAGAAACACAGGAACAAGTCTTTGCTTTAACTTATCTTTGATGAGACATTGTTGGATCCCTCTTATCTCTATGCTGCTTTCACCCACCATATCTTTTCTGTGATATTTTCCCTCTGCTTGTTCATTCAACCCACCTACATTTTTTGGAAGGGGGAGGAGAACCTGTTAATTCCAGTTCATGCTTACCCTGTCATCGATGACCTGCACATCCCATCCCATATTGACCTACCAGCCTTACCACTTGGACAAAGGTGTGTGTGGGGATCTGTTTTTGACCTCATGTCTGCCCGAGGTCTTACCTGTCTCTTTGTATTTCTCACTATGGCCAACCATGCTCCCTTTCACCTGTTATAGAATAAATAGTCTTATCTATTCTTTTCATCCCCTGTCTGCAGTGTTTGCCACACTATCCCTTTAAGATGCAGCTGCCCCGTTGACTTTGAGTTTCAGCTGGTTGTTGTTCAGCCACATGAAGCCTTCCACATCCATCCCCTCTCAGGTGAGAACTCATGCATTTTTAGAATAGCAGGAAAAAACTGAAGTTTAAACAGCAAAAAGAGCCTCTCTGAGCGGCGTGTTGTGTTGCATAAGTTATTAAAGGAGTGGAGGCATGCCTGCAGGTTCCACACACTGATATAAAGCAGCATTCATGGTCTGGAAAGCATCACAACAGATGGTGGAAAAAGCACTTGAGATCTGGATTACAGCCGGCTTAAATCTGAGAAGAAGAGAGACAAATGAGTTTCTCATTTTGGAAATGCCTTTCAGGCCGCCTATTTTCACAGAGAGCCCAACAGCACGAGGTCAACAAACTCTGAGGGCTTGTTTGAAAGTCCCAAAAGGAAACACAGATGTTAAATTTAGTCATTCATTTATTGAGTGAGATTATCCAACATCGCATTCCTGTAAGGAGGAGAAATGTTTAAACATGGTTAGCAGCTTTGTAATCAATGGGAGATGTCACTGGCTTTGTTCCCTTCAAAAATCGGTTTATTATTCCCAGAAAAATAGGAAAAAATTGTTATCTTCTTGATTTCTTAGAAAGATAAATGCAGGTCCCAGCATCCCCAAACAGTCAGTGACACCTGAGGTTGTGTTGACACAGCAGGAAGAGTCCCAGAGGTGAACAAAAACACCCTTTATCAGTCAAAATAACGGCAGTTATTTTTCAGCTGTCAGCCCGCTGCTTGTTGGAGGAGAAACTCAGAAAAAATGCAGCTGACATTCAGGTCCCGACTCTGACACCGGCCACAAAAACAGCTGCAGGTCCAGATGTGCACAGGGAGAAAATAGCTGTCCAGTGTTCCCTGTGAGGGAAAATCCTGATTTCCAGACATTTATGCTGCTTTGATTTGTTGATTAGTACAGTAAATACAAACATTGAATACTTTTTAGGCAATGTTTATTCCTTTTCTAAACAAAGTCTGTATTTAGCAATATTTAACTGTCACAAGGATATTTTAATGCGTTTACTTTTGATAAATGAGCCAGTATTGGGTAAAAAGAAAAAAAAACTAAAAGTGCCTTTTCTTGGCTCATATTAATGATGTTTTTTTAATAATTTTTCACTCTAGGACTTTTAACAAAGTAATTATTCAAATCTCAGTGCCTTTTAACTATTTCTTACTTTGGTTTTCTTTATTTTGAAACTATTGGTGTAACATCTTTATGCATTTTTAACTCTATAAATTCAGTTTTAGGCTTTACGGTACCTGATAGCTTAACATTTTTAATTTCCTTTAGTTTTTTCTAACAACTTGTCCATAAATAAAGTCTTTGTCTTTCTGTCCCATGGACTAGCAGTTCATTTCAGTAATGATAGTACCCTTTCTAGGTTGGTTTCATCCAGAAAATGACCTGGTGACCAGTAGTTTTCGAGCTGGGTCGACTTGTGTTGTGTTTATTAAGGCAGCTCTGGTTGTGATTCTTCCAGGTGTGATTCCGACTGGTGGTGGAGCCCAGATCACTGTGACCTTCAGCCCTCTGCGGTACGAGACCTCTCAGACCACTTTCCAGCTGGTCGTCTCTCAGTTCAACACGAAGCCTTACCTGTGCACCATCAGTGGGAGCTCAGACCCTCATTTAGCCCTCAGGTAAAAACCGCTATGTCTCTGTCTAAAGATAAGCCCTCATTATGTAGAAAGCCCTCCTAGTTTCCATGTTTTCTGTGTCTGTTCATATTTTACTGCCCAGCTCTCAGTGAGCCGCCTTATCTTTCTGCGTGATCCTCCATAAAAGTTCAGCATCTTTTACCTGAAGCAGAATCCAGTCCAAACCCCTTACTACAGCACAGAATACGTCCTGTCATAAAAACATCTCAGTTTGTCTGAACAAACGAACAGCAAAGCTGGTGAGGGGGGCAAAACATGCAAACGAGTGGATTCCCAGAAAATGCCCTGATTTGGAGATCTAATTTATGTTTCCAGCCAGCATAAAACCCAATATTTAATCCTCTTCCCATGAGAATGAAGGGGCTATCCATCACCCAGCGGTAGCTTCTTCCACTGGCGTTATCTCAGCCAGGAGTTAATAATTCATGAAAATAACTCGGTAGCTGCTGCAGTGATATCAGGATTGATATGCTTTCCGATGGATGCTCGGCATATAAAACTCTCTACCTCTGTTTGTCGTTTCCCACCGAGGAACCAAAGCAGATGAGACATGTGAAACGTATGAACAGCCCTTGTTTTTCCACATCTCACTCCTTGTTTCTGTCCAATCTCAACGCTTGTATTTTCCCTAAAAGAACAGATAATCCTCTGAATTTCTCCTGTGCTTCCCCTCACTCTACTGGGTGATTCCACTCTTTTCTAATGCGAATATCAATAAAAAAAAGCCTTAAAGGAAAGTTTTGGGGGTCAGAAATGAGCCGATAAAACTCTTCAGTGATTTCAAGTTGTTTCACGCTTGTATTTGTGAAAAATTAGAGTGACACGGAAAATATCTGACAGCTGATCACACAGGCTTCAGGTCTTGGAGGTCTATAAGCCACAATATGGACCTATCGGCTCTGAGAACTGATGCTGGTCGTTTTTTTTTGTTTTGGTCTGTAACACATTCTAGTTGTATTTCAAGCTTATAAAGCTCTCCAGCATTGTTTCTCATGGAGAGCTCAGGACTGCAGGCATACATCGTTTGTTTGAAATAACTATTTATTTATTCATTTGTTTTCACTGCATTCGGAGTCCCAACTTGCCCCACCTCCCAGCCTTTTGTGTGTGAGTGAGCTAAAGAAAGGAGGAATAAGTAAAAACATGGACTCTCATGAGTAAATTCTGTTTGGAAATGGTAGAAAATAATGTACTTCAGTCCTTCAGTTGTGTTCACAATGAAAGCTCCATGATTTGTGCATGTCTTTGTCTTCCTGTGTGACAGGCAGCTGGCTCGTAAACCTGAAGGACGTCGAAGTGCCGTGCCTCAGCGAAATAAAAACACATCCAGGTCAAAAAAGGAGGCTGAAAGACTAAAGGTAGAGTTTCACTAAAGAAGGGAGGGGCTCCCTTTAGCTGTAAAGCTGTCCATTTCAGCCCAAAAGGGTGTTACTTCCCCAGTTTGACGTGTTTACTCAAACTTTTCTTTAAAATAATCGACCATTTTTTGTACTTTTCTCCCTAAAATTGACTTGAGAGCTTTTCTTGAAAAGATAAAAGATAAATAATTGCTACTTTGTGACACAAACGTTTAAATTGACCTCACAATTGCGTATTGATTTTTTCCCTTCCTCTCTAAAACTGGTTAATCCCCCTCGTCTCTTGCTGTTATTTCTTCACCTTTACACCAGACAGAGAAGGATCAGGGGGATGTTGAGCTTGGATTTACACCCTCGCTGGATGTCTGTACCCCTGCTGGGGTGGCAAAGATGCTGATCAAAGACATCAATAAACTCAGCTCCAAAGACGTGAGGCAAGGTAGATGCAGCTCAGTAACCGCGCACCCAAACCTCTCCGTCAGACGTGTGTTGCTAGCTTGTTCTCTGTTTTCTTCTGCTCCTCTCAGCTTTGTCCTGCGGCTCTGCGACAGGCCTGCAAAGCCGGCAGATGAAAGAAGCTCTGTTCAGAAAAAAGATTCAAGGAGCTGTGAAGGAGGAGCAAGCCAACCACCTGAAATGGTACATTCGTGCCAAACGTGCTGCATATGTGACGGGTTCTCTTTAGATCTCACCTCCTCTTTCACTTTTAAGGACGTGAGACCAGAATCTAATAAAAAAAGTTGAAAGGTGACAGCTTCATTAATACATGCATGTGAATCACCTGCAGGCGAGTTCATCCGGGTATGGACCCGATGTCAGAGCAGACCAGGAGGCAGATTGTGGAGGAGAGAGAGGCGGCTCTGCAGGAATACGCGGTAAGGTGGAAACTCAGAGGACAAGCAGGACTCTCTTTAAAGGGGACCTCAAAAGAAGCAGCAGGGGTCCCAAATGCTCCAAACTGACCAGTCGGGAGCTTTTTTTACCCTATTTTTCCTATTTTCTGTGCCTTTTCTTTATTTGCTCTGTTCTCTAATCTAATCTAATCCCTTTAAAATGAGACTTTATGAGGAAGGAAATATCAAAAACCATCTGAATAAACCTCAGAATAGCAACTTAGTTTGTAATCTCTTTGATTTCCTAATTAAATAAAACCTGTGTTTCCACAACACGAGTTGTAGAGACCACAAAGTTTTCAGGGTTTCGTATCACAGACCAGCTTTTTTAGGTTTTTCTGCATGAATGGACGCCCGATGAGCAGCTTCCTCTTCCTTTGTGTCGTCATTTCACTCGATAATCAGAAACATAACCCGAGATTTCACCCTGTGAGTGTGTGATGTCAGTGAGTTACGTTGGAAAGAGACGCTCAGCTTTGAAATATGACTCCACATGTGTGAGTTTCACCTGGAAAGTTTGTTTGAATAGTTGAGAGAACTCTCACAGACATTTCACAGCACTTCCTCCCTGGTCTGCCCTCCACCCCTGCTGTTTATAAAACAGGCTATCCCTGTTTTACAGCCTCATATCTGCACACTCTGGTGTTTTATGGCAACTTTTTACGATGGAATGAGCCATCAAGTCTTTTTTAAGTACTCTTTGGGAATCTTGACTGAAAGCCACAACTCAAAAAGCTTTTTCATAACCCCAAAAGTTTGGAACTGTAACAGTTTCCTCTCTTCTCTAAACTCTCTAAAGCAGAACACATTGAGATGTTTAATTTCCACTGTTTACACCAACACAGCCAGATACATTTTGTGAGCAGGACATAAACTGGGTCTTCTTTACAAAGCGCCAAATCCCAGCGTAAGTCCGTCTCTTGGCCCGTCAAAGACACGCTCAGGTTCAAACCAAAGACAATCCAGTTAGTTGTAAATCAGCTGTAATCCAGTCGGTTCCAGTCAGTGAGTTTCCAAAAGCAGGAATTTGTGTTTCAGGTGAAAAAGGGAGCTGTGAGGCTGGAGGAAGACTTTGGTGCTGGACCAGCCAAACTTTCCTCCAAACGGACGCTTTGTGAGGCCGGCCAGGTTCGTCTTTGCTGTTTTTCATTTTCAGGTTTCATTCGCCTGGTTTTACCAGACCAGATTTAATTTAGCTCTTCAAATCATGGCTCTTCAGAGCATTTTATCCAAAGCTCAAATAGCTGCATAACGTTGATGCTATAACGTTAATGTCAATTTTAGGAATTGATTATACTTGTTTTTTTTTATTCTTTGTGGAGGAAAGATTTGCCTTAAATTCCCCTAAAACTGATGTACTGATGACAGTTCCTTTTGTGGTTGCAAATGAACCAAAACAGCCTTCTAAATCATTCTGTATCCTGTCGACCTGTTTTCCAGCAAACCCCCGCAGTTTTCTACTTTGGGTTTTAACAGTGTGAGCATATTAAAGGGAGCACTGAGTCTCTCTGTGTCCTATTCCAGGTCCCAGAGGGAGCCCCATCCTTCCAGTTCTACGCCGATATTCAGTGGGAGCTGAGAAACACAGCCCTCAGACTGTTTCAGCAGGCAGCACGCAAGGTACACGTGCACAGATTGTAAACCAGGAGGACCTAGTTTATCCATAATTCAGAGTAGATGGACAGTTGACCAGTTCAAGTCTCAAGCCACCCCTCATTTCATTATATATCACCAGGAAAACAGGAAATTGGTGTGGTGGTAAATTAAAACTGAATTTATACTAAATTAAAGAGTTTTAAAGTCAATATTTATTTTGGGGATATTTATTTATCACAGCCTGAATCCGGTATCCACAAAATCCTCCCCTCTGTCCACTTTTGGCACCTAACAAAAATTTCAGGCTTTTAAACTGCACAGTCATAAAAAAAATCCATCTCACTGAGCACTTACATTAAACTTTTACAAATCTATCAATATTAAACTTGTTTCTAAAAGCTGTAATAATTTAAATGAATGGATGAAATGTTCAAATAATCTCCAAACCAAAATGTCTCCTTCCTCATCAATTCAGGTAAATATGGCAAATTTTAATCTTTAGATGGTTTTTGTTCGTTTGGAAACATTTAGGCTCCGAATGCGTTACGATTTTATAACGAGCCTTCATGTCATTTCAAGTCTAGAGCATATTAAATGCTTTTTTTTTTTTTGTTCCTTCCGACCAATCATAGTGGCAAAAACTGTCACCATGGTTACCTGGAACAGCAAAGGATGAAACTGGAGGTTTGTGACATATTGAGCTCAAATATTAGCACAAAGAGAGGAAAATACATCACACACTCAAGGCTAAACGTGGAGAAAGTCCAGGGATGAGCAAATGTGATGAAAATGATAGAAATTAAAACCAAAAACAAAAGGGCTGTTGAGACGAAGCCCTGGAGCATCGGCTTCTAAGCGCCCTCTTTTTCAACCTCTTTTTATAGCATTTTACTACAAAAATGTGTCATTTGGCACCAAACCCTCCTACAGACCTCTGAATCAACAGAAGCTACAACAAACCCAGCCAAAAAAAACAGGAGTTTAATTTGAATGACAAAGAAAACAAATGAAAATGAGCGAGAAATGAATTAAATTAATCTTTCAGTAACAATATGTCTTAAGAATTTTTTTTAAAGTGCTTCTTTGCCAAATCCTTTGTGTAGACACCACCAGTGCTGTCTCCACATAACACTGGTATTGTCTACACAAAATAGACTTCGAGGCCTCCTTCATGCGTTGGAGATTCAAAGGTCAGTGTTAAGTGGCTGTGCAAAGTAAAAACACATCTCTGTGAATGAGAGTTAGGGAAAAATAACTACTTTGAAAGACCTTCAGAAAGTCCAGAGAAATTTTAGAAGAGAGAAAAGAAAGCCTGTTCCTTTGAGGGAAAATAGAAAGAAATGAGAAGTGGATCAAGACCTTTTCCCCCTTTAGTTTGTCCAATGGAGTCCATTTATTTATTCACAGCTGCTCGCTTCAGATAAAAATGCGTTTTAATTCACTAAAGATGAAATTCTCAGCGCGATAAAGAGCCTCGTCTGACTCCAGTGGCTCTCATTAGGGGCTCGTTAGGGAATAAAGGGGAGCCTGAAAGTGTCACGTTTCCTGACATGACACGTTGTAGGTTTGGGAAAGCGGCGCCCTGCTGAGCCCACCTCTCTCTTCCAGGTCGTGATCCGATGTCGTATGAACCGGAGACTCTCCTCTTTGAAGGAGCTGGCAGGCGCTTTGAGAAGCTGCAAATCACTGCACAAAGGTTCTGACTCTTCTGTGATCTAATCATTCAGAGATAATACTGTATGACGGGAAAGCATATTTAATCAAGATGGTTCCAAAGTCGGGAAATCTCTGAAATCATGTGATAAACCTGCAGAAGCAGCTTTCCTTTTATCCTGTTTTATGTTTGCTTTAGCCGAGGAGACACGGGAGCTAAAAATCCCTCCAGACAAAGTGTTCCTGCCGTCGTCCCCCTTTTTCTCTAATGAGGACGACCCTTTGGTGAGTACCGCGCAGAGCTGGGAAACAAGACATGATGGATACTCCGCCCCTTCTGGGGAAGTCAGAGTCTCCGAGCAGCAGGACCCCATCAAAGAGCCTCATCACTGCTTTGAAAATGATCGAACACCGATGGGGGGACCCCTGTGGAGGTGTTGTTTTTCCTCTCATTCTCCAACTCTCCCGCTCGTCCTCTTGGTGTTTCCAGGCTCTGGTCCCAGTCTCCGTGGATCCCGTTGACGTGACGACAGAAGCTCGTGTGCCTTTCTTCAAGCTTCAGGTACTCGTTTACAGCACATCCTGATGCCAGACCCTTCTGTTCCTGCAGAGGGCCTCTCCCGGCTGACATTTACCCAAAGGCGGTGTAGACTCTGCTCAGGTTGCCAGTCCATTACACAGACAGGCAGCCATATGCGTTCACACTCACACCAGCTTAGCGTCACCGGTTAACTCAACATGCATGAACACGGACAGCAGCTCACGCAGAACAGGAGGGGGAGCATGCAGGGAAAGGCCCAGCTGGCCTCCCCAGCCTTTCTCCCAACGCCTCACAGGTTGTCAGATAACAGGAAGAGATCAGACTTTCTCTGAAACAGCTGTTACACGCTGTCATATTTCAGGAGGTTCATTTGGAGTCAGCCATCTCCTTTGTTTCTCCTTTAACAAGCCTGAATTTTTGAATTTCACTTTTCTTACAGCACTGCCTCTATCCATAAAAAAAAAAGCCAGAAGTAAACCTGTGATCGTTAAAGTTACATGTTTGGATAGTTTTAACATGAATACAACACGTTTATTACATGACAATTCCCCAAACTTAGCTCTGCGTCTCTGCCTGATGCTCAGTGGGATAAAGAAAGCTCCCTGAATAAGGCCAAACCTACACCCAAAAGAGCTTTCATTTGGCCACCACCTGCCTGTTGCACAGCCAGTCTGGCATTTTCTTTGCTCTTTTCATCTTCACTGCTCTGCAATCTCGTCATATTACAAAGTAATGAGTCTGTAAAATCAGAAGAGGGACCCTTTTTGAACCTTCAGAGCATCAGCCAAACAGCGATTTAGTCCGTTTTGAGGCACCGAAGGACCATCTTTACTCTGAAAGCAGATTTTTAAGCATGAAATTAACTCATGAGCTCAGATTTTGTTGGGCCTATGTATCCTGCTTGTATCTGTTTATACTGTGCATATCTTGTGTTTCTTTTCAAATGCTGAAATTAATCAAACTCTACTAAAAAGGTAAATAACCAGCGGCCTGCCCCTAAAAGGCCTGACTGCATCAGTAACAGCTGGGAGGGCTCCAGCCTCTCCATTAGCCCGAGCAGGACGAAGGGTCAGAGAAGGGATGGATGGATGAGGGACCCTTAATTTATAAGAGCTGGTCTCCGGGGCCGAGCCTCTGACTCTGTCCTGCCCTTATATGTGGAACGCTGGGATTGTGGTCCGCAGCGTTTGTGTGTTTAGCTCTGGAAGCCCCACTCCAGATGCTCTAACCCTCCTGTCTGTTGGTGGCATTAAGGTTCCCCAGCACTACGAGCTCGTGGGGTACCAGCCCGTCTCAGCTTGGGCTGCGTTCAGCTCCTATATCCCTCCCACTTTGGCTAGACCGCTTCGCTCAGGAGCTCCAGTAAGTGCAGCTCCACCTTTAGAAGAAAATTAGACCCTCTCTTCAACCTGATCTGTGCTCAGCTCTGGTGTCTGCTCACCTTTCAGGACAAGCCTTCTGGGGTCAAAGCAGAGGAGGAGCCTGTGGCAGCGGAGGACTGCGCCCCCCTGTCCTTCATTATTCCTGAAGATCTGACCAGGCCCTTTCCAGCAAACCCACTTCGAATCTTTGTAAGGCCGAAGCCTTTTCCCATCATGTCAGTATCGGACGCTTGTGTGACAGAATAATGTTCTGATGCTTTTTAGAACCCAGCCCCGGGCCTCCAGGCCTTCAAACCTCCCCCGAAACTTTTGGAGAGTGACCTGGAGTTTCCCCTCTCCCCATATTCGAGGTGACGGAGCACATCCCTTTAAAGAGCTTCAGCTTTCAAACCTTTGTACCATCAGCTGCTTTTTGTGCAGGTACACGCTTCCTGAGAGGAACACGGGGGATGAGATCCATCCCAGGAAATTGTTCCTAAGTCACAAGGTCAGTTTTCTGTCAGACGCTGACTCTGAATTGCTCAGGAATGCTTTTAGTCTCCGAAAAACACTCGACCGAGAGATGATTTTATGGGGCCGAAGTGTCTCGTGGTTGAGACAGTTACAGTTCAGACAAAGTTTCTTTCTTGACCGACAACAGGAGGAATTTGCAGAGGTCATGAGATGGAGGAATTTTGACTCCATGTTTTTGACTCATCTGTCCAGCAGGCCGGCCGTCGCCATGGACTACGCTCCACGCAGGTGGGTCAGAGCGTGTGTGTGTGTGTGTGTGTGTGTGTGTGTGCGTGTGTTTGCTTTGGTCCAGCTGAGCCTGAACAGACCTGCGTGGTGAGATGGGTTTTACCTTCCTGCTGGCGTGAATGAATCATCCCCATCAGCTGGAGTTTGCCTCCACAACACCCTGTTACATCATGTTGAGCCACTTCCTGTTGGTTCTTTGATTTTTGACGGAGAGAATGGCTGAATACTGATAGCAGCCACCCAAAGCTGAGCACAGAAACAATATTTACCATGTAAACTTGCTCCACTTGAACCCACAAGGTTTTGTTTACAGTCGCCTTGTTAACACTCTAAAAAGTGTCTGTTTTTTGTTTTTTTTGCCTCTGCTGCCCGCATCGTTTCAGCCTGTGTGAAGCATTCAAACTTTTGACCCTCATCTTGGAAAAGTTGAGTCATGCTCACATATAAAGCTAAAGGCTTTTCATGCCAGTCAGGCAGGACACAACTCCCCTTTTTACCCGTGAGGTTTGCAGAGGATGTGCTCATGTTTTTGTTTACTCGCCTCCTCTCGAAAAGAGGAAGCCATCCTCTGCTTCCCAGACTTCCAGCTCACAGCACCAATATTTATCCTCCCTGGTATCCATTCCATCACCTCATGCTCAGCAGCACAGAAACATGACTTCTCACAGTTGTTTGACATGAATAAGTTATAGCAAAGTCCACCAAACCTCTTCCACCTGCCAGGTTGGAGGTTGTCAGACTGGCCGCCTGTAATCTTTCCAGTCGAGTTGGTTCCATTCACAGAGTGAGAGGAGGACAGCGGGACAGCGTTTAGCACGTAAAACAGATCCTCTTTAAGATTTTATGCTAAGAATAAGGACTTATAACCCAGTTTAAAAGGGAAAGAGGATGCAAAGAACAGCATTTTTATATTATAATATACTCCCAGCCCATGAATACATCACCTGCATGGATGGAGAAACAAGTTCCCTTTGAAATGTTTCTGTTTTTGCTGCTTGTTGTTGAGCTTCACATTAAGTGAGATGAATCTAGGTCACACTGTGTAAAAGTGTTCACTTCCTCTGAGAAATGCTGATTTGTTCGGGCTTTAGTCTGAAGGACGGAGAGTTTCACAGCATCCGGATGTCCTGCCCAGTTTGCCTGTTTTCCCTGCCCGCTGTCACAACCTCTCCCACTCTGCCGCTGACCCCATCCACACAGCAATTTAGGTTTTCATGTACCATGTTCATGAGAAACTATTTCAGATCTTTATCAGACGAAAGGGCCGAGGCGTTTGAGGATCCCTCACCTCTCTCTCACTTTCCTCATGTTGCATAATCAGACACCTTGCAAAGGCAGCGGATCCGCTTTCTGCCTGTCAGCGCTGATCTGCAGGATAACTGTGGAAATCTGCTCCTTTATTCAAAGCTCTGCCTCCGCCTCTCTGCTCGGTCTTATTAATTTTCTGTCACTGCCTCGCAGGCTCTCCGCACAGTGTCTGTTTTTATCTTGTAAACACAAACGCTATGATTTATGTCAAGTGGACAGAATGCAAAATGGGAAAGAGCCCAACGCCACCAGTTGGCACATTTGAAACGTTTTAATGTGGCTCATAATTGTGCTTGTGTGTAGCTCCTCCTAGAGCCCCTTATTTAAGCATCAGCCTTCATCTTTGCTGCTCCGTCTGACAGCTCCAGCGACCCTCAGCAGAGCTTTCATCTCCGTCAGACTGAGTAGAAACGCGAGCATTATCTTGATTCTGTAGTGTGTGGTCTGCCTCTTCAGGAGGAAAACGCTGGTATCTGTGTGTCTCCTGCAGGGCTGTCGACTACAGCACAGATATCCTCCCACTGACAGCCCCCCCGCCTCCCGCCGGCCCCCCCGCTGATCCGCCGCCGCTAATGGAGGCCCTGTAAGCTCGGCGGAGCTCCTGTTGCTGGAGGCTTTTCCTCGGGCCTCTGCTCCTCTGATGTCCGGGCCGTGTGTTTGACAAACAGGTGTGAAGGTTCGGGAGTCCAGCTGACACCTGAGATGATCAGAGCAGAGTTCCTGTCAGGAAAAGCTCCGTTCTGCAACAGCAACTTAACACCCAGGTCAGTTTCTCCACACAGAAAGAGATCAGGGCAGAATCGGCTCAACCTGATTCCTCCTGAATGCAGTAAAGAGGGTGAATGTTCACGTTTAGGCCCTCAGATACAGCAGAGCAAAAGAAACATGTTTGGTTTGAGGAGGGGAAGTAGTCCGGATAAGCTAAACAAGAAATGAATGAGTGAGCAAACATCTGGAGTTCCTTCCAGCTTCCTGTGAGCTGGAACACGCCGGGCATGATGCTACTTTTCAGCTCTGTCATAACACTGAAACGGATCCACCCGCCCCTCTTTCTGTCCCTCCTTTTTTGGCATGTTTGTGTTTTTTATGCTGTACATGATTTGTAAGTGTGTGTGGAGAGAGGAAGTTTCCCTCAATCTGACACTATTAACTGACGAGAAGTCAGAGTAAGACATTTTTTTTGTGAAACTGATTTATTGTTCTGAAATATACAGACGCCCCTTCACCTGTTTGATCGTTTATTCCACAAAAAGATTGTTTTCTTTGTCTACAAAAACCCTTTTAAGTGCCACGAGACTCAAATGTTCCAAGATAGTGTTCCATCAGCTTCCTTTCGATTATTATTTTTAATGTTTTTTAACCCAGGATGCCAGTAGTTGATGCTTTTAGGGTAATTTCTTCCCAAAAGCAGCTGAAATGTGGAGTCATCTGACCACAGAACATGTGTCCATCTGAGATTAGCTCTCCTGAGCCCACCTGGCTCCATGGATCATGATGGCATGACAGTTTCCTTTCATTTGCTTTTCAAATTTTTAGATGTCCACGGATTCTTTTTCCCTTGTTCTGATCCGTAAAACAGAGTTTGGTACAAAATGGTGCGCCAGGTCTCATCTTTGCTCGTACAGACTGAATATTATGTGGCTGTGGCTTTTATATCCAATACTGGAACCTTCACCTGCTGGTTGAATCCTCCAGAACGATGTTACCTGTATTTATACATGTTTGTATATATTTATATAGCTTTCTGTTTTTCTTTGCCTGTCGTGCCTCAAATGGTTTAGATTTTCTAGAATAGGTCAGTGAAAACAGGAAATCGTTTCTTTGGACTTTTATCAGTAGAATGAAGTTCAAACTGAATATCCCTTTAGAGCCCCTAACAGATCGAACTTGAATTTAAAATGAAAGCAGATGTGTTTTAAATGTTTTAAACCCTCAGAGAAGGATGTCGCTGACTTATTAAAGGACGTGTTCCTAATTTCCAGCAGACGACGAGGTTGTCCCTCTTCTTACTGGAGCTGCTTTTTTAGCAGCTTTAAATCCTCCTCGGCTTCATCAGTAACTCTGAGCGTTTCTGTCACAGCTTCCCCAGAGAGCCGGCGCTGCCCGGCAGGTCTGAGACCAGCCGGATGGGGGAGAGAGTGGCCAGCAGGCTGGAGCAGCTTGGAGTCTGTGGCAGCGTGTCGCCTCCAGGAGAGAGCTGTGAATAGGAGAAAACCTCTGCACTCGTTCCGTATGTGAGCGCTATCACAGGACTCCAGAGACACATTACACAGCCGCCTTCCTACTCACAACACGCTCACTCGGCTCTCCTTTGTGCGCTCTGCCACTTCTGCAGAATAAAAACCTGTTCGCTCTCCCGCCCACCCACAAACCTCCTTTCTGCCCACTCAGAATTACCAGCAAGCTTTTCCTCCTTTTGCTTTCGCAAAAGCCGGGAATGCGTCGTCCCTCCACCCACCAGCTATGAGGACTCAGCTGCAGCCTCAAATGTTCAGGCAGAATCTGGACGCCTTTCCTGGTTCCTCTCCCCTGTTCTTGGCCGACCCCGTCTTGATTTGATTGTGTTTACTCTGATGGTGATTTCCGTCTCTGTGTCGTTTGCTCGAGCTGTTAATTCGGCCAACAGCTCTGCGGTTTGTGGCTTCTCCCAGCTGTTTGTCGGGGACATCAAACCCGCTTCCAGGCTCGTGAGGTTGGAAGCAGAAAGGCCAGAAGAGCTGGCAGAACGGGACACGTGTGGCCTGTCACCTGTAGAGGGAGCTCCAGCCCTTTGAGTTTCACTCAAAGCATTTTATCTCTCCTTCACTAATTCTGTGTGTGTGCGGAGAAGAAAAATACAGTAAGACTGGATTTGAAGTCCCTACTGCAGACAACTACAGTCAGAGACATGCAAAAAAAGGTCACATTGTTTGGACGTGTGGTCGGATTCTCACAGGAATACCGAAGCCTGTAGCCAGATGACTCCTCTGTCAGATACATGGAGATGACAGCAAAGGGGGTCCTTAAAGGACATGGCTTCTGTTTGCACTGTGGAGAGGAATCCCTCTGAGAAAGTCATTATATTATTAGCTTCATGTAATCATAGCTCTGCTGCTTTAGGCGGGTTGAGGAAAGCTACTTATTCAGTTACAGAGTGTAATGATATATATTTAATAAGTAACAGAGGGTAATAATAGCAACATAAATGTATGCAGGAGACAGGGGAAACATTACAGAAGCTTACTCCTTTCACAGGCATCCTGAGTAATTCTTCTCCCCCCTGTCAGCATCTGTGATTTCCACAAACACACTTCTGCCATCTTTTCTTTCACACATCACTTTACTTGAAAGCTTTCAGCCCGTGAACACAGGCGCTACAATTATTCTCTCCGTCACAACTGAAAAATGAGCCCAAACACTCCCCGATCCCACCGAGAGCTGCGGCCATCAGAATTTGAGATGGAAGAAAATAGCTCCACATGTTCCCCCGCCATGACCAGTCCCCTGAAATATCAGTGAGAACACAGCCAGAGAAAGAGGTCGACTCCAGGACTCTGCCAGTCATCTAAAACCAGCAGAAAAACTCCCTTTCTCTGCCTGCTTTTCCGTCTCCTCAGCACATTGTTCTGATTTGTTTCCCGACATCTCTCAGGTGACTTTAGGAGTGGACTTTAACAGCTCTGACAGATGTCCACTGACTTCCCCTGAACTGTTGCAGAGCCTGTGGTTGATGGCAGTGGGCCTTAATGGCTGTGGCCAGGTGCAGAAATCACTGAAAAGCCCATTTAAATTACTCCACGAGGCGCCCCTGCCTCCATCAGGACTGAGTGCATTTTGGTGGGAGGACAACACACATTCTGCTGTTAATGGAAGCAACAACAGGTACTCTGGGTCTGTGGTCAGCTCAGAGCCAGAGCCCAGAAAGGGAACGCTTCCAATCTAAAGCCTCGCATTAAATCACCTGCACCTTCTCAGGTCTTAAAATGTGGCAAAAAGCACATGACTTACTACTCCGTCACTGAATTAAACGTCTTTAGAACCAGGAAGCTGAGTTACTGGTTTGTCCTGTTTGGTCCGGTGAGGTTTGCAGCTTAAGATATCTGAAGGTCTCACTGAGGCTTTAAATCAGGCTGAGTTCTGCACTCTGACTCTTTTCTGTGTCAGACTCTCAGCTCCTGTTCACCAGTTTCAGAGCTTCTTTAGCTTGTCTTTGGACCCTTAGTTGGCGTTTCTGTTTACTGGAAGCTTTGGGACAGATCTTTTAACTGTGGAGCTGATTAGTTTTGGTCTCATGATGAAGAGCTGAGCAGTGTTCAGATTTGCTGGCCAACTAATTTGCATATCAGACTTCCATGGTATTGCTCAGTGTCTAAAATTGCCTGCTTTTATAAAGGCAACAAGAGAGCCAGACCGAGAACCACAACTTGGTTCTCTAAGAAGAGCAATTTGCCATCTTTTTTAAATGGACATTTATCATTGTGGAGTAAAAGCTGTTTTTAAATGCCAGATGCGTCATCTCTGTACAACTCTGAAGATTTCACCTTGCTCGTCAGTGTTTTTCCTTTCTTTCTTTGAGAGGTGCTTTCTTTCTGTGTTATTGTTGTTGTGCGTCTTTTGCCTTTTCCAGTAAATGTCAGTCCTCTTTTGGCTGCAGCTCTGATCATTAGTGGACGTTCCCTACCTGCACGTGGGCTCTGCCTGATGACCTGTGATTTCACGCGTTGCTGTGCTAATGTGTTGTGCTTTAAATGTCAGTGTGCCGCCACCCTTGCCGTAGCCTAAAGCAACGCGAAGCAGCTGGAGTTACCTCTGAGTGGTATGATTGCAGTGTTCGTGATGTGTTTGAAATTACAGGCTTCTGCTAACTGATGGTTGTCAACTTTGCAAAAGCCACACGATTGCTGGGATTTGAAATCCAAGATGATGAGATGTTAAAGGATTCAGAGTCCCGGTTCTCAAGTGCCTGAGGAGACTGCATCCACACCAGGAAATGTGGCGCTTTTAGGTGTTTTGGGAAGACATTTATTCTCTCGTTTTCCAGTCAGAAGCACAGAAACGCAATTTCTCCCAATTTGTCTGACATGAATAAGTAACAGAAAGTCCACTGAACCCCTTCCACCTGCCAGGAAGCCGGCTGTCAGACTGTCTGCCTGTAATATCCCAGGAGAATTAGTTTCAGAGCCAGAGCAGATCAGTGGGATGTATCGTTATCATTATTATTGCCGTGTCTGTTGCTCTGTGCTGATAACATCTTGATAAAAGAGCCTGTTGGTCAGACAGAATCGCCTGAAGCAGAAGGTGTGGATGCATTCAAATCCAGAGGGAACTCTCTGCCATATCCTACCTTAAACCTCATTTTAGAAATATTCAAGAGTGATTTATGTGTGGTTTTATATGTGATATTTATTTATATTTTATATATATCTTAACATGTTTACCGAGTGTCTTCTTCTACATACAAGAACACTGTGTCCCCTTTTTAAAAGAAAAAGGCTGCATTTGCTTTTTATTTATGTTTTTCTCACAGCTTTTCTAAAGTGGGTCTAAATCCAGGTGAGAGGGAGCTGAAATATACCAGAAAATGATTTGGGGAATCCGATTCGGTGCACTTGTCTGGTTGATGGGCACTGAATGTATCCGGATACATAAAGAGGCTTGCCTTCGATTCATGTTGTCAGGGTTGTGCAGTGAGGGGGTAAATGGGCCACCCACACAAAACCCCCTGACGGATACACAAATGTTTCTTTTTTTAGGGAGGGGTGAGCAGCCTTTACGCCGGAGTCGGTGGAAATAAACACGTTTGGAGCTCAGAGAGAGATTCTTACGACTTCTCTCAGTTCGGTTAATATGTCTGAACGGTCATTATTCTGTCCCTCGTGGTCACAGATAAGAAGCCGCTCGATAAACCATCTGCACCTTCCAGATATCCGCTCTGCATCTTTATCAGAAATCACAGAGAAGGATTGTGAAGTTATTTAGAGCTGAGGGCATTTTCTGTTAAAGCAGGAGCTTTAAAACATGTCGGGGTTGAGACCCAAATCTCAGCTGCTTGTGAGCATTTGTGGACTTTATTAAAGGATTCCCGACTCTCCTCGTGTTATAAAGGTGCCAGTATTGTTGTGAAGTTGGAGTTTTGTATTTTATTTGTGGACTGTAAAATCTCTTCAAAGGTACGAAATGTCTCATTCATACATCCCCCTATTGAATCCAATTTCCAGCAGCATTTCTAAAAAACCCAGAGGAGATCCATTTTCTGTTCAGATTTTTATTTTCAAGCCTTTTCAGCTTTAAATGGAAACAGCTCGGATTACCCAAAGGGTCATAAACTGTTGCTTGTATCGTCCTAAAATGTCTAAAATACACAAAATCCAACATATTTATTCCAAACCACAGAAAACGCAACATTGAAAATCGTATGAAATGCCATTTTCTTTATTAATCATTTACATTTCTTTACGTTCAGGTTTAATTTTGGTCAAAGCGCATTCAGTTTCTGTTGTTTATTTTACCAGCAAAGTTTCTCTGTTTGCTGTTTATTGCAGTAAAAAGGCAGAATATCGGCGTTTCCGCCAATCAATGATCCATCTCAGGGAATTTAAAGAAAATTGATCATATGGAGATTTAGTTCTTTGTCTTTTATTGTTTTTGAAGGAAAGAAATGATTGAAATCTTTAAAGGATTGAAATCTTTCAAATGGAATTTGTATGTGACGTGCGTTTCAAGCTGAAGTAGTCAGAAATATGACTTTCTAATATGTCTCCAGCAGCTTTTTGAGAGCTGAGTGAAGGCTGAATGGGTTCGGCTGCTGAAGGACCTCCTGAGGGCGGAAGCAGGCAACACTAGTGCCAGCATTGGTTTGCGGGAATCTTTTAAAGCTCCCTGCGTGAGATCTCAGCTTCATTCAGTGTTGGAAATGACAAAATGAAGGCTTAATCCTGAGCAGCGTTTCCCTTCTGTTCCACGAAGCCAGTTGTTTCTGATCAGTTTACTTCTTGGCCTTTCGAGCAGCAGCAGGCACCAAAATTAAGACGACAGGTTGCAGCACACTGTTCAAGATGGCGTCATTTCTCAGCCCTGAACAGTTGTGGCCTTCTCTTCCTGTCACATCCTGAACAGGGACACATAGGTCAGTCTTCCCTTTTGTTGGAAAGCTTTTAATAAGTGGAGATTTAGGATTTTCTGACTCGCTAATCACTGGATAAACTTCGCATTGCCACCTTTGGGCCAC